CGTCGAACGAGAGCTTTCCTGGGACGATGGAGGTGTAGGTGCTGATGTTGTAGGTTTTGACAGTTGGGGTACCGTCGGTTGTTTTGTGGGCCATTAGGGTCTGGGCCCCGGCCATTTTTTCGGACGTGGGGTTGATAGCCCAGGCGACCCAGCCATCGGGCTTGGGGGCGGCGGCGATGAAGACAACGGAGAGGGAGGAGTTGGAGGGGTCGTACGTCCAGTGGAGGTAGGAACTGAGAACGGGCAGATCTGTGCAGTTGGAGTAGAGCTTCTTGTTTTTGAATGTCTGTGAGGTGCAGGTGGCTGCTTGTGCGGCGGGTGAGATTAGCAGAGCGCATAGGAGGGAAATGCATGCAGTTTGGAGGAGAGAGAGAGGGAGAGAGGAAGCCATTGGAGGAGTGGAGAGACGAGGGCTTTGTGGAAAGAAAAAGGGAGATAGATAGGAGGAGAGACCGAGAGAGAGTGTGTGTGTGTTCTGCTGAAAGTAAAGCTTGTGGGGGAATTTATATTGGAAAAGGATTGTTAGATGTGTATCCGATGTATCACGTGACATGCTGACATCGCGGATATGCACACACGATAATTTATCTTTGTATGGAGTGGGAGATACAAGTTCAAAATAATATCTTTCAAGTGTAGTATAATTATCTTCAGATACGTTAGCGCACTTCTGGTTGGAGCTCGGGGGACAGGCCAGCAAACAGGGCCCGAGAGCCCGTCTTATTGACTCCAGTGTGTGGGAGCCTGAGGGACAGGGCAGGCCCGAGCACCAGGTTTGTCACGAATTGCCAGCCCGCGAGCCCGAAGGCTGACGTTAGCCAGGCGTCAGCCCCTTTTTATTTTTTTTTCTGTCAGGCGAGTGCACTGCACCCGCGCGTGGGGACGCGTCACCCAACATGTTTTCAGTGAATGGGGCCCGCGGCGCAGTTTCAAATTGTTACCGTTGGGAAGCTACGTGGCTTCCCATGGTCCGTTGGATCTCAACGGCAATAAAATGTGGACCGTCAGATTTGCAACGGTAAAAAAAATTAAAAAATCTTATTTAATATCAATCGTTGGATCTGAGATCAACGGTTGATATTATTCTCCATTATAAATAAAAAATAGTTTTAAAATTCAGAAATGTTACCGTTCTGCCATGTGGCACAATCTGGAGTGTTGGAATTCAATTTTTTTTAAATCCAATGGCAGAGATTAATTAGTTGAATAAAAATGAAAAAAAAATTGAAAAAAAATTGTTTTTACTTTTCTATAAATACCTTCTCATTATCATCTACCCTACACCACAATTTCATATTTTCTCAACTACTTTCAACCACATTCTTATCTTTCTCTCAAAGTTTCAATCCAATTTTTTTCAACAAAATGACCACTGATGCATGTACAAATTGGACGCTTCTTGAAGAAGTTGCGTTGTGTTCTAGCTGGGTTGAAATTACTCATAGTTCGCTTACGGGTTATGAGATGCAGTTGCGAGAAATGTGGAGTCTTATTCATACCAATCGTTTAGTACGTGGAGTGACGCCTTGGCACAAGCTAGTACTAATATTCGAAGTGGGGAAAATTACGCGAATCAGGTAACAATATATTATTTTTTGTTTGTACTATACCCAATTTTACATTATAATTATTTGTTTGTATTATTTATTTGTTACCTACTTTCATTATAATTATTTGTTTGTATTATTTATTCGTTACCTACTTCCATTATATGACAAGTGGCGGATCCGGTAAAAATCTTATCGGAAATCCATCACCAATAATTGTCTTTTTGGATTTTATGACACGTGGCATAACGAGTACGATTAAAAATCTTATCGGAAATCCATCACCAATAATTATCTTTTCGGATTTTATGACACGTAGCGCAACGAGAACGATTAAAAATCTTATCCGAAATTACAAATAAAATTATTTTGTATTATTTTATAAATAAATAAAATACTAATATTTTATTGCCTATTGCCAGGGTTATTGAAGTGCAACGGTGGAGATGCAAAATGCGGTTACTATTAATTAAGGGTAGTTACTGTTCACTAGGTGGATAGTATATAGTGTATTGATTGGGAGGGTTTCCATGCTGGAACTGCTCTTATTGATCACAAAATAATAAATAAATGGAAGATAATTATATGTAATTAGTATGGTCTCTGAGAAAATTTTCCACTCTTGCAAGAATGGGTATTGCGAACTAAATGATGATTAAAAATTAAAAATGGAAAAGAAAATAGGAGGAGCATGTGGACTACTTGGACCATGGAAAGAGTACCGTCGGATTGAAACAATGGAGTCGTGAATGTGAGTTATATACATTGTACTCTTTTTCTTTTTGGTTGGTGAATGGGGATTGGTGCATTTGGGATTTGATCGACTTTTATTTGTTTTCTCGCTTTCTTTCCACTTTGTGTTGGAGACGACTTACATCCATGAAAATAAAAAAGAAGACATGGAATTGGACTTTGATTCCTTTCCCTTCGTGAATTCTACATTGGCCACAAACATATTATGGAGTCAAAGATGATACAAAAAATTTTAGAATTGACAAGTAAATTTTTACTCTCAAGTGACAAAAATACCCTCATTAAACAGGCGAATCCTAGATTCGTTTCACGTGTAGTTCAACCCTCTTAAAGATTCAACAGTTAACTACAACCTCATCAAGCTCTATTAGGAGAAAAGTCAAAGGTATTAAAAATATGATTATTACTAAATCCCAAGATAAATAAATCTTTGGGGTTACTTAGTCTTACGATCTAGTGGTATTCTTTTTTACTTGTAAATGAGAGGTTTTAGGTTTGATTCTCTCCCAAAGCGAATTTGAACCACATTATTATAGCACATTGTGAGGCTAAGCTCATCCTATTTCCTTTAATGTAGATAATATTGTTTATTAAAAAAAAAATCTTTGGGATTATTCCTTTCTCATCCATCGACAACTCATCATAGGCAATCGAATGCCGACACATGGCAAACCCTACATGCGGCTGGCCTAGCTGCTATAAATACCCATCTCCACCAATTTTGGTAAGATTTTACTATGCACTTAAGCCCTAAACTCGCTCTCTTCAATCCCCCCAACCTCGTGAGTGTGTAAGGTTGTCTTGATTAAAAGCGTTTATTTGTTTAGTAAGTACAATTTTGTCAAGATTGAAAACAATGAAATTTTGCTACCACACATATCAATGGAGGTTTTCGGTTGTCACAATCCCAACTCCTAAAGAATAGAACGGGAGGAACAAAGTTGTGGCAAATAAATATGATATGTCCCAAGTTTAATTTTTTTTTAGAAATCTTTCTCATACTCTTACTTGTGTGAGAAATGCTTTTGCCTCTTCGTTCTTTAATTTGTTGAAAATGTGATACATACGGATTTTCCGATGAATGTCATTCATGTGCAATGCTTCCATGTTTTTTTTTTTCTTCTTTCAATTGTTTTTGCAAGTGAGAGGAATCATTTATCTCAAACGAGTGTTATATTTGGAATACTTTCTATATTATTCCAATCTATTGGTGTTGAATTGACTAATACCTTACCCCATTCCAAATAGGGAATTTTAACAAAAAATTTCCGGTACTGTTCACTTTAACGAAAAACCATATTTTTACACTAAAAAGTCAATTCTGGTATTATTCACTTTACCCTTTATTTTTTCCTTATCGTTAAAACTCAAAGTTTTCAAGTTTTTTTCATTAGTTTTCCTTTCCAAATATCACAATTCGATAAGGTTATTAGAAAATATGACGCCTCAAATTTCTTAGCCAAATTTGATACATGTATTCCTAAAGTACTCTTAAGATTCTTCTGTTGAGCGTAATGGTATAAGTTTACCTGACTGTGAAACCTACTGGTCGAACTACAAGTGAGTTGTTAGGAGTCTCCTAACCTTTTTAATATTCTCCCAATGTTTTTAGAACTTTTTGCATTTTCAATTGTTTTTGTTCCGATTTTATGTCTTCTTTTTGTTTCATTCAAAAACTATCTTCCTCTCTTCAAATTGTTTATAAAAAATTTAATGTAGAGAAATTGTACGTTATGGTCCAAACGATATTATTAACCCTCACACGGCAGGCCAAGAAACTTCTCTTTTAATTCTTTAAGGGAAGGACAAGTCAAAACAGATTAGATTATGAAATGTTTAGCCGTTAAATGCTCCCACTATGTCGATTCAAATAGTTTGCGTGATGATGCAAAAGCTAAAAGATTATATAATTTCTTCAGTTCAGAAAAGTAGGAAAAATGTCTTGTAAATCAGAAGATTCAGTGAATAGGTCTAGTTGACAATTGAAAGCTTTGACTAGAATTCTTGTATTTGATGTTAATGCATCTTGGAAAAGAGAGCTTTCAAAGTCTTGAAGATCTTTGTAGTATAATTGAAGAGATGTATGATCCATTTCCTTTCTGATCATTTGGAATCCAACATTGGATGAGATAATCTGACATTTTATATTGGATATATAAGTTTAAGTCATATAGTAGGAAGATTAATATTTGAGTATGTAATTTGATAATCTGACGTGAGATTTAAACTCGTAACTTTTTAAGTAGACTGAGTGTTACTAGACAAAATGATTATGTGCATTATTAAAAAAATTTGGACTTGCAAAGCCCTTGCAATGCAATATAATATGAATCACTCTAGCAAACAATACAACATACGAATTAATGCCATGATCCTAGAGGGTTGACAACTAAAACAGGATCAAAGTTCATGAGGAAAACAGATAGAGCAAGAAGACAGCATATAAAAGTCTGACACATTTGCCGTGATTATGGTGTTTAACACTTAACTAGCAACCACATCACCTTCATTTCTCTTCAACATACCCAACAGCCACTTTGATTACGACTTATATTGATACAATCACCCCTAAACATATTTCGACACAAGCCTGCGGTATACCAAACTGAAACATCGTGACCCAGAAATAAAAGTTTCATCATGAAGAGAGTGGTGGAGGCCCATTGAACTGTGGCCTCATACAGTATTAATAAAGTTCATAATGTGATGGATTATTACGGTATTATCGGTTAATTGAAATTTGTTACAACAACATACTACAACAAAAATATATACTTTCCTACTTATATCTAAATAGTAAATACTCATTCTTCACTGCAGAGTGTCATAGTTTGACACGTACAAGAAGCTTTTTCTGTTGTAAATGCTTGCAATAAGTTACTTATGCATATGTGCCAGTATATGATTTGCAGCTGTAGGTAAGGAAGAGCGGCGTTCTTCTAATATTTCCTAGCCCAGTATATGTAATTAAGAACATTGAGAGTGTTGAGAATGCAGAGAAGTGTGTAAAACAGATCCAAACGTGAATGATTCACATCAGCTCCTCCAAGCCACTCTTTACCAATTCTTCCACTCAATGAATTTGCTATGGACACCAAAACTGAGCTCAAAAAGTAACCCATTGATGTTGAGCACCATGACAATGAAGTGGACATGCTTCTCATGCTATCAGGCGCTTCCGAGTAAAAGAACTCGAGCATTCCTCCAAGAGTGAGCATGTCTGAGACTCCAAGGAAGAGGTATTGCCAGCCAAGCCAGAAGAAAGACAATGTAACATTTTTATGAGCCACCTTGCGTCTCTGAGATTCGACTATGGTGGCTACAGCCATTGATACAGATGCTAGTGCTAGCCCTACTCCAATCCTCCAAAGTGGTTGGAAGATGTGACTTTTTGCTGAGTTTTTGTCTCCTAAGATTCTTCGGAATCGTTCGTATAAGGGAATAGAAGCAAGCATAACGGAGAGGGGGAGTACGGTTAATGACTGAACTGGGATTTCGAAATTGTGTAGTTTTCGGTTCATTGTGCTCCCTTGTACCACTGAGTATGTCTGAAGTTGGGCTAGGCAGCAATTCATCATGATTGTGCTTGCAAAGATGGGTAGAAGGCCTATAAAAGTTTTTGTTTCCTTAACTTGAGCTGCACTGATTGTGCTATCAATTAATGCTTTGTCTAAGAACCTGATAAAATATAGTGTTTGTTAGACCAAAACTACATGCAAAGAATTGTATACAGAGTTTAAATTGCTCTATTCTTCCCACTCAAAATTTGAGTGATCTCATATGGTAGGCCAGAACTTGTTTAGCATGCCCCACAAGTGTGCACTATAAATTAATCCCACTCTAAATTGAAAGAATCATAAATGTCCTATGTTACCATGCATATGCACTAATCACCTAATTAAGAAAGAACTGGAAGAGAGGAAAAGAAGAACTTACTTATACTTGTTATGGGATCGCACATTAACTCCGTTCGAATTGATTGCAGATACTGCATACTGGTTCTCCAATACTCTCTCTTCGGGTGAGGCCTTCCAGTTTCGAACTGCAGAAGCAAGAACCTTTGACACCACAAAAAAAATTTAATAAATTCCAAATACAACATTCTATTCGATAGTATTTTTTGAGAGTTGTTACTAGCGCACGCTATATATAGCCACTTTGCAGTCTTAAAAAGTAGTGCACGATGATTATTTTGGAATGCTAATAAAACACTGCATCTTTTCTAAATTTACTTTTACCTTAAAGATTCTTGTCAATGCGCTTCCTCCAGGACGTTTATGTCGATAAAATGGGCTCCCACTGACGAAAATTGAAAGTGCCAAACTCAAGGCTATAATTGTAATAGTAAGGCTCGAATTCCAGCCATTGTTCTCTTCCACCCAAACCATAACAGTACAGCTTAGGAGGCCCCCAAGGCACAGGGAAAAGAAAAACCAATTGAAGTAGGTAGAGATGAGTCTCTGATTGCAGTGATCAAGCTGATCAGCACCGTGTGCAGGTAAGGACGCATTGATTCCACCTACACCGGTAGCAACGACATAAAGGCCAGTGTATAGAATGGCTGCTTGAGACCGAGAAGGCGTAGCACCCGATGCTGGTCGAAATTTTGCGTGCTGAGCTTGGATTCTCAGCAAAATTAATCCCTACATGATACAAATTTTTTGTTCCATTTCCTGTCTGTCACATACTTATAAGAAAATATATAGGCTCTCAATCACTTTCAATTTGGTTATGAGTCTCCTTTAAAACTTTTAAAACTTTTAAAACGTGTCAATTTTTCGTGCATCACATTTTTTATTAGTTTACCCCATCAAATAGATGAAAGTAAATCTAAATTTAAAATTATTTTTGATAGATTTGACAACAGGGACAAATTACTATACAATTCAGAAAATTACGGGCTCATAACTAAAATTAAAATCCAAAAGTGCAGATTGAAAAATGAAAAGTTTCTAATTCAGGGTTATGCTAAAATTTTCCCAAAAAGGGGGGAACAAATCATACCAGCAACTCTATGATAGAGGAGATGATTAAGGTTGTGAATCTTGTGAAGAGTGAGTCACTGATCAATCCTCCCAGGATGGAGAGCAAAAAGGAGGTTCCAATAAAATTCGTCACCATATTTGCTGCTGTAGCATGTGGGTAATGCATTGACAACAAGAAGTATCTCACAAAGTTACTGGCATTGGCTAAAAACACCATGTTTGTCAACACCTCCACAACTGCACACACATAAAAAATTCATTCCCAAAATTATTCCAGTATCATACAACATTTTCCCATATCAAACTTTTGCTAGATCCTAAGGGCTTGTTGGTATCCTTCTTGGATCCAATTTTTTGTTTAAAAAAATAATGAGTGTAATTAAAAGCAAAAAAGATACCAAATCACTCCAAGTTTAAGGGTTTTTTCTAGATCCCCATCTTGAACCTCATCTTATGATAATTAAACTATGATTGATGCTACCTCTGTACACCCAAGTTCGAATCCTCTCACAATATTTTATTTCCAGTTAAATTAAAACACGCTCGAATAAAAGAATAAATATCCCTGCAATTGCAACATACCACATGCAAAGGCAGCAGCTCTGGTTCCACCGTGCTTTCGAGGATCTGCCTCTCTTCCTTTCCAGTCAAAATATCGGTCATCATCACTTTCTTTCTGAATGACATCTCTTTCTATACTCATCTTTGAGGCCTATAGGTTTTAACAAATATACAATTGTAAGTGAAGATTTTGCAGTTGAAGAAGAAAATCATGAAGCAGCCAGAAAATATATAAATTAATAAGAAAAGAAAAAAACTTTTCTGCAGAAGAGAAGAGTTGAGTTGCATATAATTTGGGTTGTGTTAGGCCACCATGATCTGTACCATAAATTACAGGAAATATTCTGGATTCATGAACTCACCAGTATTAGGAAAAATTATACCAAAACAAGAAATTGGGGGACAGATAGATGAGAAGAACTTATAAGGCTGTACAGAGGTTTGGGGAAAAATTAAATTGATTTGCATCTGTGGGGATGAGGCTAAAGGCTATGCAGACACTTGTGTCCAAATCCTGCATGAATAATGTCACATTGCATGGAAATTAATTAAAGCTTTGTCAAAGGCGGTTAGAGTGAACCGGATTCCTGAGAATCCTGCATTCAATGCCTGCCCATTGATTTGCATGGCACCTTGAATTTCAAAAGTTTAATTAGTAAAGAACTAGGCCATTTGCAATGAAGATTGATGAGTTTTTGGGGTACTTTTTGTTACATTTGACACATAATACTTACTTTTTGGGGCAATTTTAATGGAGAAATTCAAAAGAACGTGTTTTTTCATTTTTATATAAGACTATAATTTTTCAAAATGATTTGATTTAGTGTAATGCTACAGAGTTGGAATAATCATGTACAAAGAGTTGGTCGTTTGAACTCATGTACAATGAATCCTTTTTCTTGTAAGCTTTTCTTACATAAATGCAAACCATTGACTTACATTGACTTTGAATCAACTCTGATACAAGTCTTATTATCTTATTTGAGACAAGGAGATGGATTGTCTGCCCTCCCTATCCCATGCCCTTCTCATCCCTTTTTATTTATGTGGTCACGGTTAAACCATGTCAACATTTTATATTCTTATTGTTTTTTGTCTTATTATTTCTATAAAAAAATCAATATAAAATGTTAACGTGGCTTAACTGTAACCACAAAAAATAGGAGGGGTGAGAAGGGCATGAGATGGGAGGGCAGACAATCCAACTCCTTGAGACAATACTACTAGTCTTCTAACGTTTTTACAAAACTAGTACATCTTTTTTTATCTCGTGTACACATGCACCTATGGGTTTTTTTTTTTTCCAAGCTTCTGAATTGAATAAATCAAAAGAGCATCCAAAAAAATAAAAATACATAGTAGTAGCAAGTGGTAGATTGCCTTGGTGGCTAGGGTCTTTCTCTTCAATCATTGCGTCCCAGGTTTAAACTCTACGCTCTCCCTTAGTGTAAATTAGTGTAGAATACCTCTTGTAATAAAATATGTAAACAATAGTATGCATAGAGAGAAAACAAATGCGTAAATTATTTTTGTTTTTTGAAACTTTTTTTAAAGATAAGTACAAAAAGTAATGCTAGGGAGACTAAATTTGTAAACTAAACGATGTGTTGTCAATAGAACTAAGCACATTAATCAACACTTAAATAATAATCTAATTATAAACTTTCATGTCATTTAGTTTACAAAATTTAATTTCTCTAACATTATCCTAAATACAATATAACGATTTTTTGGTTTTAAGATATGATGAGAATACATTTGGCGGTATAATTCTTGAACAGTTCTCTAGTACCAAGTACATGTTTGGCACTGAAATAAAAATAAAAGGATACACAACAATAAATATGTTCAGAAGTAATAAGTGACACATTATTCTTTTCAATTCAATTAAGGAGTTTGCAGTAGAATTTCATCACCATCTTGTACATCTATCTATCTATATAGATATATGTAAATCGATTTTCAAACAGGATATTAGGAATAAGCCATGTAAAAGTGATTAACAGTCTAGCGCCAAAAACAAAACTGATGATTAATAGTTCATGGTATGTGAAATTTACGTATATAATTGTAAATTTGATGAGCTCAAATTAAAATTCTTAATTTGATTAATAGTCCATGTAAGAAGCAGTAGAAGCCATGCATGGTGATAAAAGAAAATAGTAGAAAAATTACTCAACTGTACAAGCCAGAATGCTGGATCGAGAAATTCTAGTGGATGCTCATCATCAACGTCTGAACAAGCTTGAAGTAGACGCAAATGGAAAACCTATCAGAGTAAAACTCTCCCTCGTACCGTCGTAGTTTTTCTTTAAAGACCTAGCACAGAGAGTAGATTGGTTGGGTAGACGGGAGGATTATTTGTGGAGGTGAGGAAGAAGGTGGGTAATTCTATGATCTTTTTGGCAGCTGAGTTTTTGAACTCATAAGATCCTAAGCGTTTTTTCGTTTCTGCAAAACAAAAACCGCGTGGAAAAGCAGTACATGTCGAACGGGCGGTAAGAGTTTCTTTCCTTTTAGTAGAGAAATAACTTTCCTTATTTCTGCACAATACCAAAACGTCTATGATTCACATCACATCATTTCCTCCTAGCCATTCTTTTACAAACTTTTCCACTCACTGAATTTGCTATATGTAGTCACTGAGCTTTAGGAAGTACCCCCATTGATATTGAGCACCATTATTTCATGGTAATTAAAGTTTATAAATTTATGAATAATTTTATATTCTTAGGGAAAAAAAAAATTTATATTCACAATAGGGCAATATCATTCGTTTTAATTTAATTTTCATTGACCTATCCTTAAAAACAGAACATGTTGATTGACTCATTCTTAATGTTGAAGCTTGAAAATATTATATAAGGAAATATTAGGTTCCCATCCCTATTTTTTCTACTTCATTAATTAAACTCTTATTCCTTTTTAATTTTTGATCAAGGTCCTTAGATTTTAATAAATGTCATTAATTATTTCAATAATAAAATATTTTTTTAATTCTAAATATATTCATATAGTGTTAGAAACGTTACATTTGTTATATTTATATTCATGGCTAAAATTTTTATCATATATTTTTCTTTTTAGTTTGTACCCATTTTTAATTTGCAAATTTCTTTTTAATTTGTAGCAATTTTCTTTTTAGTTTCAATTTGTACCCATATATTAATTCATTTTGTGCCCATATTTTTTAAACTCTTATTTGTATTTGTACCCATACTTTTTAATTTATTTGTACCTATTTTTAATTTTGCTAAATGTACCCATGCTAATTATATGTATTTATTTTATGTTCTAAATATATCAATAGTTATTTTTTAAAATATATTTATAATTATGTGTGACACACGGCCATCACGCCTCGATTCGGGTTGGGATGTGTTAGTTTGGTATCAGAGCATTATGTTTGCAGTCTTGCATATCTTGTGAAATTTCTAATTATTTTGATGTCTTTTGTCAAAACTATGCCGACTCGTATGGATTCACGTCCTTCTGTTGAGCCTAGTTTCCCCAATATAGCTCAATTAAGGGAAACTATAGCTAATGCCATTCAGTCTTCACTCCGTCCTCCCCAAATGACACCTCTTGAGACTGTGTATAATCTGAAGCTGAATCATTTTATGGGGAATGAAGGACATGAAGGAGCGGAGAAATGGATCAATCATCTTGAGAAGACTTTCCGTGTAATGCAGAGTCAGGGAATCTTCATCCTGATAGGTGGGTCGAGACGACTACCTGGTTTCTGGGTCTGGAGCCCGCATCCTGGTGGAGACAGGAGTCTTATCAATTGTCACAAGAGGAAGCAGCTGACTAGGAAATGTTTAAACAGTTTTTTTCAGAAAAGGTTTATTCCCCCTAAGTACATTGATCGCAAAAAACAAGAGTTTACTCAATTAAAGCAGGCGAAGATGATGACAAATGAGTATTATAGGAGATTCACTGACTTGTCTCGCTATTATCCGGAGGTTACTGCTAATCCGGTTAAGATGCTCCGTCGTTTCAGGTTGGGTACTAAAAAGAAATGGCGTTCTATAGTAACCTCGACTCCCTGTGCTACTTACCAAAAAGTTTTATGAAATTTTGTTGAGGATTGAGGACTCAAAAAATATGCCCAGTGAGAGTGAAGAAGAAGAAGAAAATAATGGGAATCAAAGGAGAAATGATAAAGGTAAAGGTTAGTCTTCTCAATGACCTCGCAAGACTCAGAGCTTTAAGAGAAGTGGAGCTAGTTCCAGTTCTTCTAGCGGAGGTTTTAGTGCCACTGGTCAGAGGAGAGGTGGTAGATTTTCAGAAGGTCCTAGATTCCAGAGGCAGGGAGATGTTGAACGATGAGGTGATCATTTGTGCCGCTGATGTAATAATAGGCATTTTGGGGAATGTAAGAGAGGTAGCAGTGGATGTTTTACTTGTGGGTAGATGGGACATAGAGCTATAAATTGTCCCTAGAGAGAGCTATAAATTGTCCCTAGAGTCTGCAGAGGCCCCAACAGCCTTCTATGCCACCACCAGTGCCAATCTAGCAAGTTCCAGGGTCTGGTAGTTATGGTCAGATGGGTCGAGGTGGTGCTTACCATTATCAGGGTGATGCCGCTCCTTATACTCCAAGATCATATCAGTATTCGCAGGATCCTTATTATCAGAGTGGGTATTCTCAGTATCCTGGATGGTATACACTGTAGCCTCCTATTCCAGCTGGTGGATCTCAGTGGTATCAGGGAGGACAGCTCTAGCAAGTAGAGATTGCTTCCAGCAGTGCAAGATCTTCAAGGTAATCTGGTCAACCAAGTCAGGGACAAGGTAATCAAGCTAATAGAAGTCGTGGGGGATGACGACAAACCCCGGGACATATTAATAATATATCTTTGCAAGATGCTCAGAATCATCCGGACTTGATCATGGGTACGTTAAACATTCTTGGTCACTTTGCTATAATTTTAATTGATTATGGTGCTCCGCATTCCGTCATTTCTCATACATTTGCTCAAGTGACACAACCTCATCCTATACCTCTAGGGTATGATTTAGAGTTTGCTATGCCTAGAGGGGAGAGATGTTATGTTGATTGTGTATATCCAGGATGTCCAGTGATGGTAGAGAATGTGGTTATGCCAGCTAATCTTATCCCGTTAGATATTGTTGATTTTG